TCTCAGCTCGTTGTAGAACCATGTTCATGCAGGTAGACTGATGGAAACCACAGCTGGACTCAGTTTGGTTCTTTGAGGTTCTACTTTGGGGCCTGAATTTTTATTAGTCTTTATAAAGATTTCGTTTTTGATTGTTCTTAAGGTCGAATACTCGACTGTTCAACTTGGAAATAGTGAAATTATTGAGAGCTGATGCTGTTGAGCATCATTTCAGGCTTTAGTGATGTTTTGTTGTGCATGAAAGTACCTTAAAGAAAAAGTATTGAAGAAGAATCACCTGCAAACTGGATAAATAAAGACCAACGAATTACACCGACCTGTGCCGAAGTAAAACTAACTTCACACTAAACATGGAGACTGACTCCCAGCTTCAAATTTCAGCAAATAAATTCAAATTTGCCAAACAAGACAGGACGATCTATTTGTGGAATTTGCCTCCTGCAGGTGAACCGAACAGAGAACGGCGGCAGCAGTGATGTGACGCCGCTCTGCAGAATCTCTGATCAGACCCTCAGCCTGTCATTTACGTGTCAAATCACGTGTCAGCTTTATTTAACGAGTCAAAACGCAGCCAGTCCAGAATAAAACAGCTTCCTGCGGCTTGCCGGTTCGCTGCTACGAGGCTTCAGCTACTCGCCTGTCAGATGTGTGTCAAACACCTAAAAATAAAAATCAGAATAATGAAGCAGAGTGACAGAAACGCTCCAGTGACCCGACTGTCACGTTCAAATGACTTCCTCTCAAACTGCAAACACAATAAGAGTCTAATTTTCCGTCCCTCGAGTTTCTTTTTAAACATATTTGGTGAGTTTCAGTGCATTCGTTAACGAACGCATCCGAATTAATGAAGCAAATCGACTGATGGACGTCGTTGCTTCCTCATCAACCCAGTTTTCATTCTGTCAGAGCTCTGGAGCGACAACGACGAATTAAAGCTCCGCTGCTGACAAACATTTGCATATTTAACCTCCTGATCAGCCAAAACCTTTAAAACAGAAAGAATCATTAGATTTTCATCTTTACATGGGTCCTTAAATGCATCATGTGGTGACTATCATGACATATGCTATTAAAAGAAACCCCACAAACAAACAAAAGGAGCTTCATACA